GTGTGCATGGCCCTGAGTCGTGCTGCATGTGTTCGGTGGTGTGCTCCGCCGCCAGTTGTTCTTGTTTCCCGTCTGACTCCCCCGTCCCCCCTCCCATTGTTTCCCTGTACCTCCCTCTCCTTCCTTTTATTGTCTGCTTCAGTCGGCAAAGATCCACGGCGTGACTGCGCCTGCGAGCCCGGTGAAGATTGTGCGGGCGTTTGTTTGTGCAGGTGATTGGCACCCCCGCAGCCGCCGTCAACGAGCCCCACTGCCAGGGCATGTACACAGCCTCATGGTGCGTGGGTTGTGTTGTGTGTGATTTATGTGATGTGTGTGTGTGTGTGTTTGCTGCCTCGAAGATGCGCGACTGTCGTGTACTTCGTGTACTTTCCCATCCTCTTCCTCCTCCTTCCTCTCCTCATTCTCACGCCCTCGTGTCGTTTCCTCTCGTAGAACATGCAGGATTCGCCTGCCCACGGTGTGGTGGAGCAGTTGATGCAGGATCCCGAGGTGCACGCCGTGTGCAGCGCGCTGTTGAGGCGCTTGGCTCGTCCGCATAGTCGCCATGTTGTGATGTGTCGTGTCAACTTGTGCACAAGTTGGACGAATGGCTGAATGTCTGTCGATTCCTCTGTCACATTCCTCTTGTTTCCCTTTCTTGCTCTCTTCCCTTCTCTTCTTCTTCTTCTCTTCTCTTCTCTTCTCTTCTCTTCTTCCCTTCCTTCACTCTCCCTCTCGCCTGCTTGCTTGCTTGCTTATGTCACGCCCTTCCTGTGCTTGCCTGTTGTTTTCATTGTATGGCCCTGTGTACGGCTGAACACGTTCTTGGTGTGTTTGGTGGATGTGTGCTGCTGCTGCTGCTGTGTGTGGTTGATTCTGGCTTGTAACTGGAGGGTGCTGTTTTGATGTGCAGAGGGGCTGGCTGTTGTTTGGTTGGCTTGGCTTCATGTTGCGTGTGGGCACTGCTGTGCGTGTGGATGTGTGTTGGACTGGGAGCGTTGTTTGTGGGTTGTGTGGCGGACCTGTTCTTTCCTCAGTAAATGGCTCGATGAAAATGATGAGACCCGCTTGACGGTGGTGATGGTGGAGCGGCGGTGATGTTTGTGGTGTTGCTGTGGCTACAGACATTGGTGTGTTGTACCAACCAGGCAAGGCCAAACGAGGAGGGCGGGGCTGTTGTTCCTTTCGGCGACAAAGCGAGTCGGGTTGTTTTGCTGGCTGGCTGGAGGCACTTCATCCTGTTTGTTTGTTCTCGAAGAGATTGTTGACGAACATCTTCCACGGAAGCGCTGGTGTGCGGATAACCTCTGTAAGGTTTTGCGAATCGTCCAATGGCCGAGTCGCAAAACAACAACACACAAAACAAACAAAGAAGAAGGAAAACAAACAAAGCAGCGCGTTGAGTTGTCGTCCTCCATTTTGTCGTCGTCTTCCCACTCACGAGCACGTCACAACAAGCCACAAGGAGAAAGACGACGCGCCATCGCCATGTCCGGCGGAGACAACAGAGCGAGGGAGGAGGTGGAGGCGTTGCTGGCGCAGACGAAGGTGACGGATTGGGTGAAGAACCGGATCAGGGCCATCGCCAACAACACGTGTGGGGAGATAGCAGAGTGAGTGCAAAGGCAACCAAAACGACATGCATGTTGGAACATGCATGCATGTGGTGGAGAGAAGGACACTTCTTGTGGTTGTGCTTGTGCTTATTCTCCCTCTCTCTCTCTCTGCTTGGCTTGTCCTTGTGTTGCAATGAGCTTGGTGTGGCTTGCTGTTGGGTGTTCACGTGTGCGTGTCCTGTCCCCTCGCACCGCCCGGACACACTGTGTGTGTTTGTGACAGGTTGTGACTGGCACCCTCATGTTTTTGCTCTGTGTATCCTCAGTCTTCTTGCTCATTTCATGACATACCATTTGAAATTGCAGCTTGGGTCGTGATGGCCTCGGCGACATTGGGGCGCGTGCGGTGGCCGAGGCGCTCAAGGACAACACCTGCCTCAAAGGACTCGCGTGCGTGGTGATGATGAATCTGCATCGTGTGACATGCATGGTTGATTGGGATGGCGGTGTTGCACGTTGCGCCCCTTTCCTCCCCTGCTTGCGCATGTTTGGACGTGTGTTCACCGTCGCTCCCTGCGGTTCTTGTGTGCCTGCACAGCCTGTGGGACAATTCCATCGGCGATGAGGGCGCTGTGGCGTTGGCGGAGATGCTGAAGCACAACACGACCCTCACAGGACTCGAGTGAGTGTGTACACACACACACACATGCACATGTATGCTGCGTCACTGCCGTTGCACCTTATCATGTGCACATGTGTATGGGTGCAACGACTGTGTTGTCACCCACATGAATCATCATCACGCACTCACTCACTCACTCTTCCTCACCCATGTGGCATCATCCCTCTGCGTGGCATCATACCGTCTTGACAGCCTGTGGCGCAATTCCATCGGCCCTGAGGGCGCTGTGGCGTTGGCGGAGATGCTGAAGCACAACACGGCCCTCGAACAGCTCTTGTGAGTTTGAACACACACGCATGCACGAAGGCACCCGCTTTGAGCATGTGTGCATGTGGTTGTGCACGTCTGCAGCAGGCGCGCTGGCTGTTTGCCACCCCATGTGCTCGCCGCCCCCATCCCTCCTGCTCACCACCGCGTATGCTGTCACTGACCTCCCACTCCTCACTCCTCTCTCTTGTGTGTACACAGCCTGATGAGCAACCGCATCGGTCCTGAGGGCGCTGCGGCGTTGGCGGAGATGCTGAAGCACAACACGACCCTCGAAGAACTCTAGTGAGTGTGGACACGCACACATGCACATGTATGCTGCGTCACTGCCTGTTGCACCTTTATCATGTGCACATGTGTGGATTGATGACTGTGTTGCCACCCACAACAATCATCATCACGCACTCACTCACTCTTCCTCACCCATGTGGCATCATCCCCCCGCGTGGCTTCCACCATACCGTCTTGACAGCCTGAACAACAACTCCATGGGCGATGAGGGCGCTGTGGCGTTGGCGGAGATGCTGAAGCACAACACGACCATGACATGGCTCGAGTGAGTGTGGACACGCACACATGCACATGTATGCTGCGTCACTGCGGTTGCACCTTATCACGTGCACATGTGCCCATGTGTGGATTGATGACTGTGTTGCCACCCACAGCAATCATCATCACGCTCTTCCTCACCCATGTGGCATCATCGCCCTGTGTGGCATCCACCATACCGTCTTGACAGCCTGAACAACAACTCCATCGGCGATAAGGGCGCCGTGGCGTTGGCGGAGATGCTGAAGCACAACACGACCCTCGAAGAACTCTAGTGAGTGTGGACACGCACACATGCACATGTATGCTGCGTCACTGCGGTTGCACGTTATCATGCGCTCATGTGTGGTTGATGACTGTGTTGCCACCCACAACAATCATCACTCGCGCACTCAATCACACTTCCTCATCCATGTGGCATCATCGCCCTGCGTGGCATTCACCATACCGTCTTGACAGCCTGTACAACAACCGCATCGGCGATGAGGGCGCTGTGGCGTTGGCGGAGATGCTAAAGCACAACACGGCCCTCGAAGAACTCTAGTGAGTGGAAGCTCCTCTTTGCAATGTGTGTCTTTAGGCGCTTCTTCTGCAATACCCATGTGCAGATCAAGGCACCGCAAGCCACCCACGATGTCTGTGCGACTTGCTTGTTTGTCCAACCAACAAATGCTTCCATCCTTCATATGTGCCACAAGTGCTGTCACATCCTGTGCAACTGGCATTTTCCCCCTTTGCTTCCGCCATTGTGACTTCAATGTCGTAGGACCTGATGTGCGAGCGAGTACACGTGCACGTGATCCATCTGCAACCCACTTTCATCCATGACACTGACACGTGTTGCTTGCCCACCCGTTCCCCTGCTCTTCCAACATGCATTTCTTGCCACTTGCAGCTTGGATAACAACTCCATCACCCCGGTTGGCGGTGCGGCGCTGGGTGCCGCACTGGACGAAAACCGCACGCTGTCTCGGCTTGAGTACGTCGATTGCGTTGCGCCTGCCTCATGAACGCCTGTGTCCTGTTGTGGATTTGTGTGACCAATCGCCACTCTTTTGAGTGCACGTCACACTGTGTGTTTTCCTCTTTACTTGCTTGTATTTCTCCACAACCCTAACCACCAACCCTCCTGACCCACACACCGCACTTGCTGCCTGTTCCCAACCACACGCTACCACCACGTGTCCTCGTTCAGCATCGAGAAGAACTCCACCGCCACCGCCCGCGCCTTTGGTGCCGCGCTGCCCGTCGACCGCGTGCTCGATACAGGCAACTGGTCAGTCCACGTGTGCTTCCCCTTCCTGTCATGCGCTTTCTCTCTTCTCTTAACCCTTTTTTCTCACGTGCTGCGTTCTGGTTGCGTCTCATCTCGTGTGCGCACAGGTTCGGCGACGATGAGCGCAACGTCTTCAACGAAGCACGTGAGAAGAAGCAACATAAGCAAGTGTTTGCCGGCTTCAAGACTGGCACCGCTTCAGCTGTCGCCACCTTCTTTCACCAAGATCACGCAGATGCCAAGCAACAAGACAAACAGGTGTGCATGTGTGTGCTTCGGCGATTTGTTCGTTTGCAAAGTCTTTGAGTCACACACATGTTTTCACCACGTCTGTTCTGTTGCATCTCGCGCCCAGGTTACTTCCCCTTCAACCCAACATGCCAGCGTCTCCCAGCCCACGCCCTCAAGCCCAGCACTTGTGTCAACATCCTCAGCTCCCCAATGTCCCCCTGGCAGTGCACCTCGCCTTCTGACGACGGGCATGTTCAGCCTGAAGTCTCCTGCGTCTCTCGCAGACGTACAGAGTCAATACGATGAATTGTGCGAGGTTTCACTCAAGTACACACAAGTACTGTGCAGCTGCCTGAAGGCCCTCCCGCCCCACGAAGCCATGTGGCCTCTTGATGATCCACGCCACACTACCCCGGATGTGGCCGTGCTTCGCCAGGCTGAAGCGGACCATCTGGCCTGCCTCAGCAAGTTCGACGAGCTGTTGAAAATGTGAGTTCGCCATGTTCATCATCTCCATGGTGTGCCTCATGGTTTGACTGCACATACCCTTGTTGGCCTCGTTGTTGGCTCACGATAGATTGACTTCGTTTCTTGTGCCCCATTCTTGTTTCCAGTCCCTCCTCGATTGCTCCACACCAGTGCTGGGAGAGTCCATCTGATTTCTTTACGAGTTTGGCCGAGGGGTCGGTGTTCCCTCAGGCACACCTGACTCGAGAAGGAAAAGCAGCTGCCCTTGTCGCCAGATGCACACCTGGTTGTGATGATGTTGAGTTCGTGATTGCCTCTTCAGAAGACGAGGTACGTGATGTTGCCTCTGTTGTAACCCTTGAGAGACGCCACTGGACATTGTGCAATAGTTGATTTCACATGTTTTAACATAACATCACGTCACCGCTTCTCCGTTCTTGTCCTGGACACTTTCACTTGCAGCTTGCTCCCTGGACAGCAAAACTCCTCGCACAGTTCAAGAAAACGCAAGCAGCTGCGGTGTGTGCATGTACTGGTTGGTGAAAGGACTTGGTTGTTTCGCGTGCATTGCCGCAGTTGTGTTGTGCTGTTTACACGTGAGAGTTGTATCCGTCGCATGTGTTGCGCTCATCCGTGACCCTGCTGGTTGGTGTTCAGACACCCGCCAACTTCATCGCCAAATGCAAGGAAGGCGATCCGCGCGGCGCTTACAGGGTGCTCGAAGCAAGCAACTTCAGCCAGGAGATCGTGCACGCAACCGACACCAACGTGCGTTGTTGGGCCTGTGTGTATGTGTGTGTGTGTGTGTGTGTGTGTGTGCACTTGTGCGCGGGTGCCACAACGTAAACACCACGGCTGTGTTTATCGTGACGTGGTTGTGTGATGCGTCTTACTCATGTGGCCACCTTCAGGGACAATCTGCTGTTGTTTGTGCGTGCGAGAGTAAGTTGCCACAGCTTGTGTACCTCCTGCTGCTGTTGGGGGCGGATGCCAAGACTGTCAACAACAAGGTGATGCCATGCTTGTTATTTGTAATAGTAGTTGAGCTGTGTCCTCGTGTAGTACGCTGTTCAAGAGGGTATTATTCTTGCTCTTTTGTGTGTGTGTGTGTGTGTATGTGTGTGTTCTTCACGGGTTCACTTGCACCTCTGTTCTGACCTCACCTGCGCAATGCGCTTTGTGGAATGGCGACAGGGCTATGGCGTGAGCGACATCGCGCACAGACAGAGCTGGCTCAAAGTCATGGTTGCTCTTGACGATGCCGCTTGGATGGTACGACGACACCTGTATGTTCGCACATGTGCAATGTCGATGCGTGTTGCTGCTATGTCTCTCACACACTCTCTCGCATCACCTTGGTTCCATTGCAAACTGCATCAGAATCGCTTGGCAACATCCAGGCGGGAACCCGAGATGGTGAAGCTCTTGGCATCCATCGACAAGCGCACGTGTGGGCCTGAGATCATGTGAGTGCCAAGTCTGCACAAACGTCTGCACCCAAGCCTTGCGAAACCCAGTTGTCTCCATTCATGGACACACACTGACGACAGAATGTGGTTGTGGCCCCTTTCTTCACACTGCAGGAGAACTGGCTTGACCATGCATCCTGACCCACTTCGCGTTCTCTGTCAGCGGTTGCACCTGAGCGGCGTTGTCACACGCCTTATGTGAGTGAGTGTGTGTGCGTGTCTGTGCGCGATTGTGTGCTTGTGAGTGTTGTGTGTGCGTGACAGCGTGTGTGTGCTTGCGTGTGATTGTGTGTGTGAGTGTTGTGCGTGCGTGACAGTGTGTGCGTGTGCGTGAGTGTATGTGTGTGTGTGTGCGTGCGTGATTGGGTGCCCATCGCCTGGCGTTTGCTCTTTGTGTTTCTGACATGATTTCTCACGACACGTGGCTTCACTCTTCCCAGTCTGGTCGCCTGTGATCTTGATGACAAGGCCGCGGTTGTGCTCGGACGCCACATGCATCAACTGAATCACCTTCGAGTGCTGAAGTACGCAAGACAATGCCCTTTCCTTGCTAATTACAGCGTAATGGCCATGCCTGTGCTCTAACCTACACACTACTGCTATCAATACTCAAAGTGCCATCCGCTACCTTTTCTTGCCTCTCCAGTCTCAGTCACAATGCCATTGGAGATGTTGGAGCGAACGCCCTCTCTGAGCCATTCTTCGGGCAGTGCTGCATCGCCACTCTCGGGTGCGTGGATGTGTTTCAGCGCTTGCATGCTGTGCTGAGCTTGCTTGCACTTGTGTGTTTGTGCTCACGCCTACCGACACCTTCCCACGCCTCCCCACTCTTGATGTTCGTCCCGCAGGCTCGACGGAAATCGCATCACAGCTGCTGGTGTGGAGTGTCTGGCAAGGGCGATGGTTGCGAATGAACTCCTCAGCACCATCTCGTGAGTTGTATTGTAAGCACACGGCATTTCAGCGCTCTAAAGCTGCATTGAAGCGTGTGGTGTGCCATTTATTCATGTTGCTATTGTTTGTTTGTCTTGTTTGGGATGGCTCAGGTTGGTGAATAATCCCGTGTCGGAAGAAGGCGTTGGACCCATGGCTGAGGCCGTGGTCGTGAAGCGCCGCTTGCTGGCAGACAGCAGGAAGCGTGTTAAAGTCACATTCACCAACGACTTGTAAGTTCGTTTGTGTGCCCCTGTGCATGTGCCTCTTTGCATTCGTCTCTGTGGCTGCTGCTTTCTGCTTCTCATGATTGAGGTCTTGTGGTTGCGCTTGTCTCGTCATGTTCCCTTTGCTCACTCCTTCGTGTGTACATTGTTTGAACTGCAGTTTTCCCAACGATGGTCTTGATCACGTGTTTACCCGCACAGAGCACCACGAAGCATTCAATCAGGTTCGTGGCCTTGTAATATCTCGTCAGCACATACATCTGCGCCTTTCTGTTGACTCGTATTTTGGGGTCTAACCCATTCTCTATTATGTGTGTAATGTGACGCGAATGTGTACAATATGCGTAGAATTTGATTGAAGCTTGCTCTCAAGGCAAAACACGTCAAGCAGAAGATATGCTTCGACTTGGAGCCAGTGCGAACGCAGGGGTAAGTCGATCAAAGCACGTTCTCTCGCCAGTCTGCATGCAGCCATGCTCGTGTCACCTTGCACCTCTCACATTGTTGCCCTGTCCCATTTGGTTTTCTCTTGAGCAGTGCAACGTACTTTCCAGGTTTTCTCGCAGCCTGCAAGTTGCTCGGCGCTATGTCAATGGCACCGCTTCTGTCGTGAGTTTCACTAGGCTCAGGTCTTGTGTTGACGTTGTTCGTTTATGCATCTCACCCTGGCATTGATTCTGGCAATCAATCACCTGAAGCGTGCTGTCTCATCATGCTGAAACTTCATCTGTTTGGTGGCAGTTTACGACGGCTTTGCATGCTGCTGTGCGCACCGGAAACTCGATGGCGGTGCGGCTTCTTTTGTCGCACGGCGCTGATGCGAATGTCATCGATTTGGAGGTTCGGATAGAGTGCCTGCTTTTATTCATATTTCAAGTTGCTGGCGTTGTGCCATCGCCCTGCATTCCTGACTGACATCTCACACAATATTTTGCCTCCATTTCTCATACACTAGGGCTTGAACCCAGCTCAGGTGGCGCGGCAACTTGGGCACCGGGAAGTGTTGGATGCGCTCAAAGGATCGAGAGGTTCGTCAACATTGTGTAGCTGTGGACGCCTTTTCATGAACCTGCCGGCGTGCACGTCAAGTTGTACCTCGACGTCATAAGCTAACAACGGCGTTGACTTGCTTGAATACGCCTTCCACAGACGTTTCTGCTGGTAGGGAGCCAGAGTCTCACCACAAGTACGAGGTTTTCATGAGCTACAGGTTTGTTAAGCGTCACAATCGCTTGTGAGCTTCGAGGTCATTGTCAGCATGACAAATATGCGTTCGTCGAAGCACCTCTTCACACACGCACGTACGCACACAAACACACACACAAATGCACACGCTCTTAAGACCAGCTGGCTCACTTTTCTCACATGCTCACCACAAACCGATCACAGGCACACAGGCAACTCCAAGTTCGCATATTTTGTCCACCAATATATGAAGCACACGGATCTCCACGTGTTCATGTCGAGTCAGAAGTCGCCCGTTGCGTGCCTGATAGCCCTTCAGCACAGCATTGTTGCCTGTCCCGTCGTCTCTGCTGCTGCTCTCCATCAGATGCGTTCGCTCGGCCACACTGACGTGTGTGACAACGTGCTCTTGCAGTGGATGGCAATGCTTGAGCTGCAACAGCTGGCCCACCAGCACCCAGACAAGATCCACCTTCGACGCATCGTTCCACTTTTCGTTGGCAGCGGATGGCACGACAGCAGCCACGCCATGAGCAGTGCGGAAGCATGCGAGTACGATTCGTTTGACCGCATGAAGCGACTGGCCGAGTCGCTGTCAGAAGCTGTCAGCGCGGCCACGGCAGCAGCGCTTGACACGTTCTTTTCACAAGTGCTCCACCTCCCGCCACCACAGCACCACAAGAGCGTGCGCGAAGTAGTGCTGTCCCTTTTTGACAGTGTTGGTGTCATGTCTTTCTACCAAGACCAACAGCAGCACGATTTAGCAGCAGATGCAGTGAGAATTACAGAGAAGGTGCACCAGGAGGTCGTATCTGCCATAAGAGATCGGCTGTCATCGCACAGGAAGGGCGCAAGTCGGTTGATGCAGGCAAGAAAGCCAGAGAGAGAGAGAGAGAGAAAGAGAAAGAGAGAGAGAGAGAGAGAGAATGTGTGTGTGTGTGGTTGTGTGTTGTGAGTTGTGTGTTGTTGTTGTTGTTTTTTTTTTTTTTTTTTTGTTGTTGTTTTTCTGTACACATTCAAGCGCGGTCCTTCCGTTCAGCTTGGCACTCACCCCGTGTTTCCCCTTTCCTTGATCGCGTGTTCTGCAGTCGTCATCGTCCGTCAAACCGACCTCTACCACAGCACTACCTGCAACTCTTCCTTCTTCCTCTTCCTCCTCATCACCATTTGATCACGAACTGACTGCATGGCTCAACCGTCACTCCCTGCTGCCGCACGTTGAAGCTGCGCTGGTGGAGCACGGCATTGACTCCCTTAGAGTGCTGCTTGCGCTGGTACAAGAGGGCGACGTGACAAAGCAGACGCTGCGGGAGGCAGGCGTGAAACTTGGCCCCGCCGTGAAGCTGATGCAAGAAGCAAAAGAGCTTACCTCGTAAGGCATCGGCCTTGGCATGCTTTGACCACGGTGTTGTTCTTCAGTGTGTGCTTGCTGAAGTCCTTCTTCTGATCATTCTTAATGGTTTCATGCGAAGGTCGCCCAAGTTCTTCTGCTCACTTCTGTCGATCATGCCTTTGTGAGCGCACGAGTATGGCGCCTGGCTCCTCACATTACCTTGACACTTGCGCTTTGTGAGATGTCTCAGTGAAGACGACTCGACCTCTTCTGCCAAAGCCGCCTACCAAGAGCAGCTCGATCTCCTGAAGCTGCTTGAAACAGGCTCCGTCCCCCTTGAGACAGCGAAGGTGTTTGTGTGCGGCGATGATGGCATTGGCAAAAGCACCATGATCAAGTCCCTGCCAGGCAGCCTGTTTCGCCGCTTCACACGCACCATCTTCCAACCAGCAAATGACCCAGACCGCCGAAACGAGCGCACGCCCGGCATTCGAGTCTGTGAAATGAAGTTGAAAGACACCACAAGCCAAGGCAACGACGGTGACAACGCTGCGTCTCTTCGCGTGTATGATTTTGGCGGGCAGCTCGCATATCACGTCATCCACACGCTGATGATGTCGGATCGCTTCGCTGCCTTTGTCGTCTGTGTCGACCTGTCTGAGCCGAAAGAACATGTGAAGGAGCGCGCCAACTACTGGCTGCAGTTCATCTGCACGCGACTCCAGCAGGGCGTGGCGCCTTCATCATCAGCAGCAGCAGATGGAGACGCGAAAGACGACGTGAAGCCGCGTGTTCTCATCGTTGGAACGAAGAGGGACCTTGCCTTCAGACGTGGACGAGTGAATGTAAATGGTCAGCCACTGTGGGGTGCGGGGATGGTCGCGGACCTGAAGAACATGTTTGGCGGCATCGTCAACATCCAAGATACCCTCATCCCCCTCAACTGTCATCAGGGCGGCGAGGCTGGGTTTGATGTGCTCCGCTCACAGCTTGCTCAGCATTGGCGGTGGCTGAAAGGGCGAGAGGTGTTGGTGCCAAAAGTGGTGAATGGAGTGGCAGAGGCTGTGAAGGAAGCAAGGATGCTCAGGGCGATGTGGAGGGCGGGAGATTTGTTGGACTTTGTTCGCGGCAGCGGGAATGGCATCAACCTCGTTTCTGTGATCCAAGAGGACACCTTCCACCAAACACTCAGGCAAGCAGAGAGAGAGAGTGTGTGTGTGTGTGTGTGTGTGTGTGTGGGTGGGTGGGTGTGTGGGTGTGTGTGTGTGTGTGTGTGTGTGTGCACACGCGTGCGACTGCTTGGCCGTAGTAGTCGAGGAGTTTCGTGGTAGCCCCACCACTTCAACCCTCAATCACGCATTGTGCGCTTACACCTGCCATCCTTGCTGCCCCTGCTTCTTGCATGTCCAAAGGTACCTCCACACGCGCGGCGATCTGCTCTGGTATTCCAGCACACCCTCCCTGGCGGATTTCGTCTTCGTCGACCCCAACTGGCTGCTTCATGACGTGCTGGGGAGAGCGCTGACACCGGACGGCGTGCAGCAAGGCTCCATCACCACGAAAGGTGTCGTGACATTCACGGACCTGGAAACCGCATTCCGAGGCATTGCCAGCGCAGATCTCGTCATCAACGTCCTGCAGCACACGCTCCTCTGCTTTGAACTGCCGCCTTCTGACGATGGGCAACGGCGATTCATGCTGCCGAGCCGCGTTGAGGAGGAGGTCGATCTCACAACCGCCTGGTCACAAGGCGAGTGGCTGCTATATGCCGGACGACGGCTGGTGGTCGAGAACAACGCGCTTGCGCTGCCGCCTGGCTTCTTCCCACACGTGCAGACACTGCTGCACAAATCGTTTGGCGCAACACTGAAGGTGTGGAAGGATGCCTTCTGCTGCAAGCGTGATGGTGTGCAGTGTCTTGGACTACTGCGGGACGACCGAGCAGTGGATGTGTGGGTGAGGGCACCCGGCGGCGCAGAGTGCAGCGCTTGGAGCTGCATGATGGAGGTAAGGACGAACAGATGTGCGTGCATTGACGCGCATATGTGTGCATGCGTGTCTTGCCAATGTGATGTTCATGGGTGGGTTGTAGCTGAATCTGCGTTTGTCTTCACAGTGATTTCCTTCATTCTTTCACGTCCGTTTACTTTCACAAACCACCACAGATCGTCTCCTTCCTGCAAGAAGAGGCACGTGGCATCGATCACGTCCAGCACGTCCTCAGCGTGAATCACCTGAAACAGCACCGCGATTACCCGGCCAGCCGCCCCATCACAGACCTGGAGGACCTCGCCTTGCATGGCCTCGTCGACTTTGCAAACGATGACAATCCACCCGCGCGACTCAGGGATCTCCTCGTACATAACCCCATCCTGACAGCACCCTGGCACCAACCGGGCCACGAGTGGCACCATGCTGCCTGGCGGCTCGACGACAGCTTTGACCGCCAGTTGCAGTGGACTGGACCTGGCGATCATGACGTGTACTCTGCGCCACTGCCATCAGACACAGACCTGTATCGATGGATTGAGAGTCAGATGGGGCCAGGCCTCACCTTGTCGCGCGTGGAGATGACTAAGTCCACCACGATGCTGCGGGCGTTCAAAGCGCAAGTGGAGCGTTCAGCCAAGAAACGTGGTGATCCAAACACTACCAATACAGTTGCTGCAGACCCTGCCAACCCCGTTGCTGCAGACGCGACCAACCCCTTCAACAAGGACTTTGGGGCTGGCGATCCGGACAAGCAAGGCATGCTTGACCGGCTCAAGACGCAGTTTGCAGAAACACCCGATGGCGTGAATTACGTCAACGTCCTTGTGGCTTGGCATGGGTGTGATGAGGCTGTCGCCGACAACATCACCGCCACAGGAACCGCCAACCTCAGCAGCCCAAACGACCCTGGCTTCTTTGGCGCTGGCATCTATCTCACGCCGCAGACAAGCTATGCCGCAGGCTACTCAACACGCCTGCTGACTGGGAATTGGCGCCAACCAAACGCAGACGGTGAGCACGTGATGCTCTTGTGTGCTGTCAGCGTCGGCCTGGCATACCCCATCACCAGAAGGGCAGATTACCCATCGTCTGGGCAAAACAAGTGCACGAAGTTCTGGGGCAAGAAGCTGGAGACTGGCTGCGACACCCACTACATCCAAGTCACAAAGCACATGGGCTACCAATCCACCAGAGCGCCCACACCTGGCACCTTTGACTTTGAGGAGTATGTGGTCTCGCAAGAGGCCCAGGTCTTGCCATTTGCCAAGGTGTTTGTCAAGGTGGACAGGGTCGTGCTGGCTTCGCAGCTCACAACCCCTTAGACTTGCTGGTGTGTGTGTGTGTGTGTGTGTGTGGCGTGCGTGTGTGTGTTCGTACGTGTGTGTGTGTGTGTGTGTGTTCGTGTTTCATCCTAGTGCTGCTGTCTTTCCCTGCATGCGTTTCCAGTCCTCATTGTCGAAGTCCCTTTGTTCTCGCCAAGCCCGCTTTCCTCTGTCCCATGTGCATGTCTTCTTCTTCTGTGTAGAAAGTGACCTGTTGCCATTTTCTTCCTGAGCCACGTGTCTTTGTCTCTCGTTAGTGATTGTGTTATCCCATGTGCTTGAAGCAGTGAACTGACACCAAACGCCCTTCAGTGGCAGTGCAATCAAGGCAACCAGGAGACAACACACGCGCACGCACGCACACACCAAACATCCCGCACACATCAAACATCCCGCAACCCATGCTCCCATCCTCGTCAGCCCGCCTCCGCCCCGAGCAGTTGAACGCCAAGACGGTGCTGGACTTCTGATATGGGGATGACCACGCAGAAGTTCTGGTGTTGCCATGCCTGCACCAACACGCCAACCACACCGCCCTTGTCGTCAAACACGACAGCACCAGAGTCGCCACGTTGTGCAAATGCTTCACATCCCTGCCACGGCCGAATGCGGATGCGCACCCGCTCTTCTCGCATGAACAGCGGTACAGCGGCAAGCACACCCGCCGTCAGCCGCGTCGTGTGGCCAAACTTGAACACCAATGGCTCAGACGATGGTACGGTGTCGCTCACGGACAACGTTCTTGCGTCAACACGACTGTCCTCAGGCGAAGGTCCAACGTACTTTGACACCGACCCAGTGAGCGACACGCGTTCGTGGCGCATGTGTTCCCAGTCCATGTCCGTTCCAATGGCAGAAAAGTCCGCTGTGACGTCCTCAGCCAGCTCAAACAATGCAAGATCATCGTCGGATAGCTCCGGCCGAGCGCTCCCCTCATAGGTTGTGAGGCATGTGCGACCAACCGGCGGGATGTTGGTTGTACAAGCTGGAAGCCGCAAGCGTACATCTTCCTCCGCTTTGGGAAGCACATGTCCTGCTGTCACGCCGCACACGCGCTGGCCTTGGTCGCCTTGACGTGCAACAAAGCATCCCAGCGTTCCGAAAGCCTCCGGCCTTGAATGTGCGTGGATGGTGTCGCCCACACGCAGCACAGACGTGTCACGACCACTGCCGAACGCCAAATGGGAGTCGGTGGTGTAGAATGGGTCCGGTGGCTCGTTGCGCACAAGCTCTGCCTCGTGGCGGGACGGCGCTTGCTCAACGTCCACGGGGAAGCTGCCAAAGCAAGCATCAACGCAGCACACAGACGGCAGCGCTTGCTGTTTCGATCGCACATAAGCAATCACGCACGGCTCGTCCACGAACACGATGCCACGACGATGTCGGTAGCCGCCACTCAGCGCAACAACGTCAGGGTGGCGCTGCAGGTACACCTTCGAGTACAGCTGCAGCTCTCTGCACATCGGGGCAGCCACGATGGCGGGAACGCCTCTGTCGGGCACGGGCGGCCGTGAGACTTGGGGGAAACTTGGTGCGCCCTTCCACACTTGCACAGGAACCCCGTTGATGAAGGCTGGAACGGCATGCGCATGCTCACAGCTGTTGTCTGTCACGGCCAGGGTGATGGCGACCGGCTCACGCTGCTCGTCGAAGAACACGCCCAAGCCGTGCGGATGCGATGCAACCAGCTGTTGTCCGACTTGTACTTCAACCTCTTCTGCCGCCTTGCGAAGGGTGTCGTCGACGCGAGCCGCTTCACTCAGGTGCACGAACCAGTGTGGTTGCTGCTGTGACATGCACCGGCTTTGCTGTGCTTCAGTCTCTTCCTCTTCAAGCGACAACACCTCAGGCCACAATTCAAAGACCTGTTCCAATGCGTCAACCTCAGAGGTTACGGCGTTCCCGTCTTCCTCCCTGGCAGCAGGCAGGGCAGGGCCGCCATTCAACACGCCTGCATTGGGGAGGCACGGGTAAGGACAAGGGTTAATGCTTCAATACGAAACACGTGCACAGGCCCCACAACACGTTCACCCTCGCTCCGCTTGACGCGTAAACACTCAGCAACCCGACACAGCAATCGAAACGGAACATCACAACCCCACCTTGAACTGCTCCACATGGCACACAAGTTGGCACCCACCTAAGGCTTGACGACGGCCGAGTCGAAAAGCGTATGAACGGAGGCTGATAAACCAAGCAGCGGCTGTGAAGTGTGGTGCCGCTACTCTCGCTTCCCCGTCGCTCTTGTCAATGTGCTGCAGCGCATGTCTCACCACTGCGCTCAGCAAGTGCAATGGATTGCGAGCGGACCAGACCGGCAGCGTGCTCAGGTCAACAGGGCAGGTGGAGCACGGTGCTGTCACTTGTCGGCGGATGCGCAGAAACCAAGCATCGCGCTCAAGCACCCATCGCACTGCTGCTGCAAGGAGCGTCCTTGTCGTTGTCGTGCATGCCCCTGGATCATCTTCGCGTTCCCTCTCTCTGGCACCAGCCTGTGGAGGTTGCTGAGGCGAGCCTTTGGAGCTGCTGGCGTCAGGGCTATTGCTGCCTGTCAGGTGTCGGAGTGCAAGCGCGAGGACAGGGCAGATGTTGTCGCCAACGAGGAGGCCGCTGGTGAACAGTATTCGCCCCAGCTCACGTGCGCTGCTCGGAAGAACCTGCACTGCTGATCGCAGAGCCGGTGCAAGCATTGCCGCTGCCTGTGGATGTGCTGCGAGCGTCGTGACGAAGGCACGCGTTGCATCGTGCAGGTCATGACAACGCGGTTGCCAGTCGACAGAAGCGCCAGAGTCATCCTCTCGCGTGTCTGCCTGTGCAGAGTCCTCGAAGCCCCACACAGCGTCTCTCAGCAGTTGTCGCACTGCACCCACTGGGACGTCACCGCCTGTTGCCTGAGCAAGTTGTGTGCTGACATGCTCAAGCAAGAAACTTCTTTGGTCCATGGGTGTGTAAGTGTGTATCTTCAGAGAGAGGGTTGAACAGTGAGGAATTGCACGTGCCCGTGAATGGAAAACATGAAATTGCATGGGATAAACATTGTTCGCGACAACAATGCTTAATGTGTGAACGTAAGTTGCACTTTATACTTCTTTCGTACGTCTTCATCAACGATACAGTCTGAAGGCCACCCTCCACTGAAACACAGCCATCCAAAGCGGGAAACCACGTTGCCCACCAGTCCATCTATCCAGCCGCCACGACTGTGACGCCCGTCAACACAACTGCACAACGCATTCAAGCAACCAAAAAACAGGGGCAGAGACAACATCAAGACGAGCAAACGTGTGCAAGCGCCATGGCTGAACAAAACCACTGCTTCAGTCCAGCCGCACACGTGGTGCACTGGCAAGGCGACAACATAACTCCTCCAACAACGTGAGGTTGAGGAGGCAGTATAAGGAAGAAGCGGAAGAAAGAGGCAGGAGGAGCGTCACATACACGTAACAGCAGCGGCGATGGCAGAGAGAACATGTTCTGCACAGGTGAACACTTGAACCCATTCGGCGCCACCACCAGCACCAGCACCAGCATCATTGTCAACAGTCGGCAGCGCATCAGTGGCCGAGTTTTCGCTCCTCGCCGAGCAGGTGCTCCCTGATGAGGTTGGCGCCCGTGACCATAAACGTCGTCTGCCAGATCCCAAGGAAGATCCGCGGCACAACGCCCTGCACGTGGTGTGTGTGTGTGTGTGCGTATGCGTGCGTGCGTGCGTGCGTGTGTGTGTGTGTGTGTGTGTGTGTGTGTGTGTGTGTGTGTGTGTGTGTGTGAGAGGCCAAGGACGCGGGGTGTGAGACCCACCCATCTCCATCCTTTGTTTACCATTATATATCACAACACTCACGTTCACATAGACAAACACCCCCCAACACACACCGATTGGAAGATTGTCGTAGGGCATATATAATAA